ATATATCAAATCATAGATCATATCAAGAAATTCAACTATCTTTTAACCGATTGCGCTTCATCGAAAAAAGTCAGAAGCACAAATAATACTAAATCGTCGCCAAGAAATTCAAAAAAAAAAAAAATCAAATTCTAAATTGAACATATCCTATGATGATTGTTTTTTGAGAAATAAGGAAGCACTCATTGTCAAGTAAAAAATAGTCATGTGGTATTCGTAAACAAGCTAACGGCGAGGCAAAATCTGTTGGAATTCAAGTGTGAAGCGAAGTCTCACATTGGTTAGAGTTGGGCATGTTGAGTAATATATAAGTGAGAAAGACCCACCTACCTAATGCCTTAAGGTTTTAGGTTATGTTGTGGTGTCAAGCTTACTTGTGTGACTTACTCACTACTCACCATGTGGAATGCTCCCCGGTGTTCTAAACTCCCCAACATTGGTATCAGAGTCGATGGTTCGACCAAGTGACTGGTGATCGGCTCAGACGAGTATTGGTTGGATCTAAGAGTGGGATCCTGAATGGAATTGGCAGGAGATCCAAGAGTAGGATCATCCCTTGTACTGAAAGTCTCCCTAGAGGGGTGTGGAGGACGTGTGTCGTTGAAGTGACCATGTGGAAGGGATTCACACTTGAGGGGGAGTGTTGGAATTCAAGTGTGTCATGTGTGAAGTGAAGTCTCACATTGGTTAGAGTTGGGCATGTTAAATAATATATAAGTGAGAAAGACCCACCTACCTAATGCCTTAAGGTTTTAGGATATGTTGTGGTGTCAAGCTCACTTGTGTGACTTACTCACTATCCATTATCTGGAGTGCTCCCCCGACGTTAAAAACTCCCCAACATTGGTATCAGAGCCGATGGTTCAACCAAGTGACTAGTGATCGGCTCAGATGAGTATTAGCTGGATCCAAGAGTGGGATCCTAAATGGAATTGGCAAGAGATCCAAGAGTATGATCATCCCTTGTACTGAAAGTCTCCCTAGAGGTGTGGAGGACGTGTGTCGCTGAAATGCAACGGTAGTGCAAGTAAGGCCACCATTGAATACTTGTGGACGAAAGAAAAAGCTTCCGCTTGAGGAGGAGCGTGACCATGTGGAAGGGATTCACACTTGAAGGGGAGTGTTAGAGTTCAAGTGTGAAGTGAAGTCCTACATTGGTTAGAGTTGGGCATGTTGAGTAACATATAAGTGAGAAAGACCCACCTACCTTAAGTTTTAGGATATGTTGTAGTGTCAAACTCACTTGTGTGACTTACTCACTACCCATTATGTGGAGTGCTCCCCCGGCATTAAAAACTCCTCAACATTGGTATCAGAGCCGATGGTTCGACCAAATGACTGGTGATCGGCTTAGACGAGTATTAGATGGATCCAAAAGTGCGATCCTAAATAGAATTGGCAGGAGATCCAAGAGTAGGATCATCCCTTGTACTGAAAGTCTCCCTATAGGTGTGGAGGACGTGTGTCGTTGAAGTGCAACAGTAGTGCAAATAAGGTCACCATTGAATACTCGTGGACGAAATAAATAGCTTCCACTTGAGGAGGAGCATGACCATGTGGAAGGGATTCACACTTGAGGGGGAGTGTTGGAGTTCAAGTGTGAAGTGAAGTCTCACATTGGTTAGAGTTGGGCATGTTGAGTAATATATAAGTGAGAAAAACCCACCTACCTAACGCCTTAAGGTTTTAGGTTATGTTGTGGTGTCAAGCTCACTTGTGTGACTTACTCACTACCCATTATGAGGAGTGCTCCCTGATGTTAACAACTCCCCAACAATTTCTTGTTTTGTTGGTGAGTCATCTACATTAACAAGATCCAAAAACCTTCTTAGGTAAACATAAGCCCAATCAAAATTGCTGGATATTAGATACTGGAGCCACTAATCATGTAACCTTTACCAAATCCAACTTCATTAGATTCCATAGTATCAAACCTATTCGAGTCACCTTACCAAATAGTTCCATAGTTGTAGTCAAACACTCGCGCACTTTTCATTTCTCAGCTAATTTACAACTTTTCAATGTCTTATACATCCCTGAGTTATTCAACAATTGATTTCCTCCATAAATTGTCAACTGACCTTTGCTAATTATGTCAGTTAGTAGGGATGTAAATAGGTACTAATAACCCGCGTAGGGATGTAAATAGATACGGATAACTCGTGAATCCGAATCAATTCAAATCGATTCAATGAGTTTAGATAAGATTTTTTTAATATCGAGTCAAATCCAATTCAATTCGATCAAAATCTAACACTATATGAATTAGGTAACGAGTTTTGTATTTTTGACCTGTGACCTAACCTTACCCAACCATGTATGATAAAAAAATATATTAAAATAAATAAATATAATAATAATAAGTTAGTATTTTGATGATCACTTACTTAGCATAATACTTTCTATCACTCTCTCCTAGTAATAAATTTTGTATTGTTAGATTGATAATATTGTAACAATACAACATATTTATTTTAAATTTTATTTTGTATTAATATTAATTGTTAGAATTAATAACAATGTAACAAAATGATAAATTAATTTTGGAATTTATTTTATATCATTATTTATTTTATAGGTTATAACATTGCATTTGCAATAATATATTAAATAGTTTACATCTATTATAAAAAATTTAAATTTTTATAAATAAATAAATAAATTTAATTATATTGACCTGATTGATCAAACCTAATACAATCTGCTCACGAATGAGTTCGGTTGGGTTGAATTTAAAAAAAAAAATACACAAACCTGACCTAACTCAACCTGTTAAATTTTGATTAGATCATATAACAGATTTATCCAAACTGGGTCCAACTCAACCCACCTATACCCGTATCACTTACAATAAAGATGATTGGGCATGCTGAGCTTCATAGTGAATTATATCATCTCAAGGAGCCAAAAGCACCTTTTCAACCATCCAACGTTTTCGTATATATCTTGCAAATTGAACTTTGAGTTTGATTTTGATCTTTGGCTTTTTAGACTAGGTCTCCCTCAAATAAAGTTCTCAATTTTATACGTAATAGTTTTCCTTATGTCAAATACCAAAGAAATAAAATTTGTGACTATTGTCACTTGGCCAAACCAACCAGGCTATATCATTTCCTTCAAGCACTTTTGTCATTATGCATTCTTTTGACCTCATTTATATAGACATAAGTGAACCCCTTGGTGTCCCTTTTTTACATGAACATCGTTATTTTCTCACTGTTGTGGATAATCACAAACGTCACATTTGGCTATTTTTAATGAAAACCAAATTATAAAATGAAAAACATGATGCATGATTTTGTTATTTTTGTTCAAACTCAATTCAATCAATTAATGGAAGTGAATTTTTACTATCCTAAATTCTATGCACAGTTTGGCATTACTTACCAAACTTCTTGCGTAGAGACTCCACAATGGAGAGAAAGCATTGTTATGTCATCAATGTGACCTGTAACCTTTTATTTCATTCTAACTTTCCAAAATGTTTTTGGTCCTATGCAGTTGCACATGTTGTCCACCTAATTAATAGATTACTATCTCCTATACTTTCCAACAAGCCACCTTTTGAACTATTACACAATTCATCCCCAACCCTCATTAATCTAAAGGTCTTTGGCTCATTGTGCTATGCATCGACATTGGAACAACATATGACTAAACTGGATCTTAGATCAAAAAAATGCATTTTTCTTTGTTTCAAGCATGAGACCAAAGGATACTTTGTCTTTGATCTTCAAATTCGTGAAATCATTGTTTCCAGAAATGTCCTTTTTTTCATGAAAACATATTTCCCTATAAGTCTTCCCCTTATCCCACCTCACACCACAAAGATGATAATTCCTTGTTAGACACATTCAATTTTCTCCTTGAACCCATTCGCTCACTCCCAATGTCAACCTCTTAGGCTTCTTACTCAATCACCAGCCAAGTTTCCCAATTCAACAATAGTTTCCATCAAACTCGAACACCACCCAACCCATTCACAAGTCAACCAAAACTAGAAAAGCTCCAAATTATTTACAAGATTTTCACTACCAACACTTTAACTCAGCAAGTAGCAATTTGTCTTCATCATCAAGTAATACTTTTCGTCATATTTCTTTTGTTCTTTCGTATTTTTCCATTTATCCTTCTCATCTAAATTACACTCTTGATATATTCACCCTTTATGAACCCAAAACTTACCAACAAGTAGTCAAGAACTTGGGTTGGGTAAATCCTATGAAGGCTAAATTGAATGCCTTAGAGGCAAATAACACATGGTATTTGATTGATTTGCCTTCAGGAAAAGTTGTTATTAGTTTCAAGTGGATCTACAAGATTAAACATCAAGATGATGGTTTTATTGAACGATATAAAGCTTGTCTTGTAGGGGTATACACAACAAGAAGGTGTGGACTTCCTTGATACTTTCTCACCAATGGGAAAGCTCAACACTGTGAGATTATTGCTAGCCATTGTAGTATTTCAGCAATGGCATTTGAAGCAACTCAATGTTGATAATACCTTCTTACATAGGGATCTCAATGAGGAAGTCTACATGGAACTTCCCTATGGCCTTGTTCCTTCCTCATCCAATCAAATTCGTTGGCTAACCAAATCATTATATGGCTTGAAATAAGTGAGTAGGCAATGGTTTGCCAAGTTATCCTCTGCCTTGTTGTCTCTCGGATTTGCTCATTCACAACATGATCATTCCATATTCTTTGAAAGATAGATTAATTCCTTTACTGCTTTGTTGATCTATGTTATTGATGTTATACTTGCTAGCTAGAAACTCTATTAAGGAAATTAATTCAGTCAAGAACTTTTTGCATCAAAGACCTTGGTGACCTCAAATATCTTCAACCATGAAGTCTCTCATTCAAAACAAGGAATCCATTTATGTCAGCTAGTATGCATTGGATATTCTATCTGATGTTGATTTACTAGCTTCCAAATCCTGCAACTCCAATGGTGAAGAATAATAAACTTCTTTTTCAATCTGATGCCCTACCACATGATCCAATTTCCTACAGACGCTTAATTGGTATACTTTTCTATCTTACCACTGCAAGATCGAATATTAGTTTTGTGGTTCAACAACCCATTCAATTCATGTAATCTCCCATAATTCATCATTTTAATTGTTAGATATATTAAGACTGCACCAACACAAGGGTTATTATGCTTTTCCTCTTCTACTCTTTAGTTACAAGCATTTAATGATTCAAATTGGGCTTCTTGCCCACCACTAGGAGATCAATTACAGTATATTACATTTTCCTTGGTTTTTCATTGGTCTCCTGTAAATACAAGAAGCAAAATACAATTCCTCGTTCCTCATCAAAAGCAGAATATGGTGCCCTTACTTCTACCATTTGTGATATTCAATGGTTGACTTATATTCTTCGTGATCTTTAGGTTTGTTTCACATCATCGACCTTATTATATTGTGATAGCCGATCAGCTTGGAACAATGCAAGCAATCCTAGTTTTCTTGAATCAACTAAACACATTGACATTGATATATCACATAATTCATGAGAAGCTTCAATATATCCCATCTTTTCCATTTGCTTCCAATCCCTTCTTATTATCAATTGGCAAATTTCTTCACCAAGACTCTTGAACCACCAATGTTCTCTGAATTCATGTCTAAGTTGGGAGTGCTCAATATACACTCTCCAACTTGAGGAGAGGCTGGTGTTAGGATTAATAGTCCTGCTATTGTTAGCAATTGAATGGTCACGAGTCAGTTATGATTAACTTTGGGTTAGCCTTTATAATAAATACATAAGTTGTACTTCAGTTAACTAAATTAGGAAGTTGCTACGGTACCCTCAAAGATTGAGGAGTTTCAATATATTTTTCTATGTAAACTCATAAAAATTTTAAAAAAAAATTAATTTAATTATAAAATGAATAATCCAAATTATACTTATAAAATAAAAAGTAAAATAAAATTATAGAGATTAAAATTATAAGATTTCAATAATATTATAAAATATTAAAAAGTAAAAAAAATTAATAAATAGTAAAAATAAAAAATTATTAAAATTACAATATAGAAATTCAAAAATTTAAGATAAAAAGACAAAAAATATACTTAAAAAATTATTAAAATTAAAATATAAAATTCGAAAATTTTAAGTAAAAAGATAAAAATATACTTAAAAAATTATTAAAATTAAACTATTTAAATATATAATAATATTATTATAAATAAATTAGAATATATAAAATAAAAGTAAAATAACTAAATAATTTAAAAATTAAAAGAATAAAATATCATAAATATTATTTAAATAAATTATTAAAAATATAAAATATTAGAATATATAAAATAAAAAAAGTGAGTAAATAATTTAAAATTTAAAAGAATAAAATATCATAAAAATTATTTAAATAAATTATTAAAAATATAAAATATAAAAAACTATACTGATACCCTCTCAAATAAGATGAGTATCATAGAATTTCTCACTAAATTAATGAATCGACTCATTCATTTTTCCCAATAATATGTTTTAATTTGTTTTTGTATTTATTGAATGAACAAATGCTGAGCGCAAGTCTACAACCAAAACTTTGTGAGAAGGTGGTTAATTTCAAGAGAGAGCTTAGTATATAAATAGTGCCAAACTGTGACATCTCTCATAACTATTATATTAAAAATGTGTTTAAATTAGTTTTTTTGGATAATTATTTGGGAAAAATTAATCAAAATAAAAAGAGATCTGATTTTAATTATACTATAATTTATATATTTAAAAGATTTGTTTATTTATAAATTATAATTATATAATAAAATATAAACATTTATCTTCCAAAAATACAAATACTATACACTAATATACAAAAAAAAAAAAAACTAAAATTATCTACATGTTTTAATATTCATGAGGTTGTACCTCCAAAAATAAAGAAAAGTGATTTGTATTGTTGGACCACATAGTAGATCTGGATTTAAAAATTAAAAATGCAAAAAAAGCATAGGGAAGAAAAATCCTCACAAAGTTAATGAGAATAAAGTAATGTAATACCTATTCCCCAAGAGCTTATGCAGTCTGATTATGAGCTCTTGTTCATCCAAAGAAATGTTTCTTCCTCTAGGCTTGAGATAGTTCAACCATCGGTGTTTGCAACTCTCACCACATCGTTTCAAGCCTATATATAGAAAGCAAACAGAATAAAATATGGAAATTAGTATAAAAAAAGTAAAAAAAAAAATTAAAATATAATAAATAAATATACACTTTTAGTTGCATGTGTACCAGCTCTTAAGGGAAGGTCACCCCAATTTCCTTCTCCATGGACTTGAACGTAGTTGATAAGGATACCCTCTTCCTGAGAAGACCATGCCCCTTCGTTTTCACAGCAGGTCTTGCTTTCCATTTTTTGTTCATGAATATTTTATGAGCATTTATAAGCGTATATGGTGTTAGGTATCTGCAGGTGAATCAGAGTGTATATGAAGAGAGGAGTGTGGAATGGAGAGTAATTAAAAAAAACACCTATGCATGGGGCCCCGGAATGTAGAGGGGTATACGACAAAGAATTATATTGAAAAAAATGAGGAGATTGATGGGGATTTTAATCAAAAGATAATATTATTTTTTTATTCTATCTTATACTATCTCTATCTGTGTGTGTCGTATTATAGTAATAGATAATGAATTATCAAAAGTGAAGTTCCTTTTGGCAACTAATGCATTATGTTAATAGATAATACATTATACGTAAAAATTACTATATTTTTTTTAAGCAAAAAATTACTATATTTAAATATAGTAAAATTAGTATAGACAAAAATAAACATAAATAAAGAGAAAAAAGTAAAATGATAATTTTATATATTATTTATTTTTATATAAAAATTTAATTATATAAAATATAATTTTTAAAATATCAACTTTTTCTGTTTTTATCTAATTTTACTCTATTAATTAACTATAAATTTTACGATATTTCTTACCTGTTTCTTATCAATTTAATTTTCACCTTTCTCTCCATTTTCTTTTATCTTAGTCATTTAAAGACGTAGGTTGAATTTGATGACAACGGATAAGTTATAATAAAAAGTGATAAATAATAAAATGATACAAAAAAGTGTTAAATGATAAAAATGAAATACATAGACAGATTTCACTAAATAAAAGGTTAGGTTCCTTGTTTGATAAAAGAATTATTGAAAATACAATAAAATTTTACATCGATAAAATAAGAAATTTTTTTTATATAAAAAATATATATATTTTATTGATCGAAAAATCTTTTAAATAATAATAAAAATAAAATTATAAAAATTTAGATCCAAACAGATAATAACTCACCTTTATAAAATTCTATATAAAATCAACAAATAAAAATAACAAATAAAATCTTAATATAAATATATCCACCAAAACAAATAACAAAAGAGTTATCCTAACATCCTTCTCGAGCAAGCACAGCGAGCATCAGCAATTGTCCTACCGAGACTTTAAGAGCACCTTCAGCGGCACGTTCTTAGTGTGTTGCTTACTGACAAGCAACGGTGCTTGTTAGAAATTGTCATTGGACTTATCCTACGTAGCAACTCAGTTGTTTATATTTTTTTCACAATTGCTTATGCAAGCAACGGAGCTTAGCACTGACAAGAACAATTTCATTGGTTGAAATTCATTTACGTGGACCACATTTATGAAAAAGAAAAACAGAAAAAATCATGCACCTCCTGTTCGTTCGTCCGGGGAGGTTTGGGAACGCCAGCCCGTATCGCCAGTGGCCGTTCGCGCGTCACCGGTCGCGCGTCGCCGGTCGCGTGTCGCCGGTCGCGTGTCTCCGGCAAGTCCCGTACACCCGGCGCGCGCGGCTCAACCAGTTCCGGATACAGAGATAGGACATTGGATACAGGCTCATGATTGTACTCATGGAAACGGGAAGTAAAGTATTTTTGGCAAACGGAGTACCGTTAAGCAAGATGTCTTCAAGGTGTGTTTCCATTAATAGAACGTGATACAATATGAAGCGAAATAAAATTTTAAGTTAAATTATAATATAATAATTTAGAGTGTTGTTAAATCTTTCAAAAGTTACAACTGAAATATTGTCTAAATACATATAAATTTTTATTATATTTAAATTATTAATTAATATATTGTATTGAAATGTATTTTGAAGGCTTAAATATATTTTTAGTCCCTTAAATTTATATGTGTGAAAAAGTTTTGTTTGATACATACATATGTATTATGCATATTAATATTATAAGATTTATTATATATAGTTATTCTATTAAATTTTAATTACACATGTTGTTCATATTATTTAATTATTTTAATTAAATATTATTTATTAAATATCATTAACATTTAGTGTGATTAGGTTTTGGTTGCTTTATTTTAAGATAAATAGTATCAATTATACACACATATATGTAACATCCCATTTTTTTATAAAATATAATATAAATATTTTATTAATAATTTTGATATTTTTATTTTATTAATTGAGATTGCTAGATAATTATTTAATATATTTTAGAATATAATATATAATGTTTTTTAATTAAAGGTTATTACAATATTTATTAAAAGGGAAGGAAATTTGAAACTCTGGTTAAGTTTTAACCGAAGGAAGGTTAAGGAAAGGTTAAGGTTTTTAAAAACAATAATTTTCTGATCATACCCTCTTACGACTCTATTTTCAAATACGCGCTTCAAGGCTCAGAGAACAAAAGCAAGAAGGAAATAACCTCAGAGTCATGCACCTGTTGCTCTAAACGTGCGTAATTAGTGATATGAATTGCTTGAATGAATGATTGATTTCATGTTTTGAGATTGTAATTATATGATTTGATATCTTTATGAGTTTCTTGGGAAACCTTAAGGGAATGCATAGGTACTTGTACGAGGAGATTGATTGGGTATGTAATTATATGGGTAAAATGTGTCTTTTAGAAGTGTAACGTAACCTAAGGAGAGTTATTTTGGATTGAGAGAAAAGAGTTTGGGTGTGAGTTGTGTTAGATTCTTAAAATTCTAGTATGAACATACCTTGATATCTGTCTTTTTTTTTTTCTACATATGATTAATCAAATTGAGTTTTGATTGTTGGGTTAGAAAGTAGACATTTAGAGCTCTAGTTTAGACTTAAGAATCACATAAATATATTAAGGAATGCTTGAGTTATGCGAGTTAAAAGACAAACCTTATATTCTATGCTCAAAATGTAACGTGCATAAGTTATAAGTTTTTTTAGTAGACTTAAATGGCAGAATTAGATTTTGTGATCTTCATGAAAGTTGTAGTCCTGGATGTTAGCTTTCAAATGTTGTTAGAATAACTTAAAAATAAAAGTCTATAACTCAAGGTATGATCAAATTAGTGAACAAAGGTCAGATTGCCATATTTAGGTTGAAATGCTGCGATTTTGTATTTATTTAAAATAGTAAATGACACATTTAGCTCTTGAGGTCAATATAGAAGTTGGAGATAATTGTCTTAACTTTCTAATAAAATTAAGATCAACTTAATAGAACATATATAGCTTTAGCTAAGGTATTTGGACCACATGATATCGTATAGGATTAAGTTAGGGGAAATATACTATGTGGGTATTCTATTGATATGCTTGTGAGTTATGTATGAGTTGTAGTGATGTTATCCCTTATGTCATTGGTTCCTAATATTTAATTGATATAGTTGAAATGTTAATTACTATAATGACCCAACCCGACCCACTTTTAATTTCTCCAAAATTTTCTTGGCCCCGCCCAGCCCACCACGGGTTGGTGAGTTATACGGGCCAGCCCACCAACCCACATAAAAATTAAAAAAAATATCAATAAAATTCAAATTTTCAAATTAACTATAAATTAACATAATAATTATAAAATTAGTATCATTAATAGTCATAAGTCATAACTCATCATACAAAATTAAATACAAACTATGATAAAAGTCCAAAATAAAAAATTTTAATGTCCCATTATACACAATTAACTATAAACCATAATCAAATTTCAATTTTAAAAAAAAAAGGTAGGCTGTGAAATTATAGGGACTAAAAACAACAATTTTAAATTTGAGATACCAAAAACAGATTTATCCTAAATTTGAGAGACTGAAAACATATTTAAGCCTATTTTGAATAATACTTTCGGAAGATACATCATTTTTGAATAATTAAATAAATGATGAATGGGCTTGATATCGTTGGAAAGTATATAAATACTTTAATTATTTTTTAAATATACATCTTAACTCTTGTTTTGTTTCAATTAATACTTAAATTTATTATATTTTAATAGGCCCTTCTATTAACTTGGTATTAATATAGTTAATGAAATATATATATTTCTATTATTAATTTAAATTGAATCAAAATCCTTAATTATTTTTGTTTTTAAAATATTAAGATCATGCGAAATAAACATTCGTAAAAGATCGCACTCAGTCTATTGTCATAGTTAGAACCATGTATCTTATGGGTTTAAGTAAGTTGAGTTAGATCCAATTGAATGAATCGGTTATTTGATCCGATCAAGATTTAATGAGTTGGATTGAATTGATTTTGTGCATTTTTTTTAAATTCAATCCAACCCAACTCAATCATGAATATGTTGAATTGAGTCAGGTCAATTGATCGGGTCAACATAGTTAAATTTATTTATTATGGAGAAAAAATAAACATTAGAAGGGGTTTGAATAATGTTCCTAAAAAATTCCCATGTTTTGTTTATAAAAGATTTTTATCAGAGATTTTTGGAGATAAGAGAAATCATATGATCAGATGCATATCAAAGCAAGACATCAAATATTGCAAAAGTAGTTAAGTCATACTCGAAGAGGATGTCTAACACAACATACATTATAAATTTTAGAGTGAATTATATGATATATATTGTGACACCCTCTACCCCGCATACCATAACACATAGATAACAAAATTTGAATAACACAATCTTTCATTTTTAAAATACTAAACGTGTTCAAATAGAGTGCACCATATCCATGACTTAAACAAATAACATAATTAGTGAAAATTACAAAAGAAATAAGGCTAAGGTTTTCAAAATAATTTAATAGAAACAACATCCTAATCTAATCCTATCTATGCCTCGATGTCACATGTCCTATCAGAGTAAAGCCCAATACTGAAGCCTAAGCTTCATAACCAACATCCTCAGCCTCATGCTGATGATCACCTGTATACGAATTAAAGGAAAACAACACAAAAGAAAAGGGAGTGAGAAACATCTCACTCTGACTCACGGTGTAGGAATACACACCGGATAGCCAAACACAAACAAGACATGTATATGTACATAGTATAGATAGATTAACAACAATATCACATTCCACTCATCAAAGACATAAAAAAAACTTTAACATATAACATTAAAATGCACATGTAATGGACACAAACTACATATTATCATGCATGTGGCGCCAGTAACACATCACATGGTGTATTGCCGCTAGCAACACACGAGAGTAGTCTAGGAGTACATGTCGGGTCACACCCTCTGCCCACTCTCACTAGAAGGACATACTACTAGGGTCTAGTCGGGATAGCTAAGCCAAGCAAGATACATCCCATGCACACAATGGACGAGACTGAGACTTCCAAACCGAGCTATCCCCAAGGACTAATCCCCAAGCTTTTACACAAGGGAGCCTTTCCTGGCGGTGTATTCCATATTGTTCAGAAGAAAAAAATTTCTTAGTCTTTCATACCAAGCCCTAGGAACTTGTTTTAGACTATAAAGAATCTTTTTAGTTTGAAAACATGTTCTTTGAAAATGGGGTTTTCAAAACCTGGAGGTTGCCTTCCATATACTTTTTTTCAATAATATCATTTTGAAAAGTGTTCTTTACATCTATTTGAAATAATTTGATATTTTTATGAGTTATAAAGACTAACATAATTATGATAATTTCAACTCTAACAATTAGAACAAAGTTTCAATAAAATTCATACTTTCTTGTTAACTATATCCTAAAGCTATTAATCTAACTTTATTTCTTATCGCTTTACCTTATTCAATTAACTTGTTTTTAAATACCCATCTTTTTTTAATGATACTTTGATGTTTTAGCTTTGGAACTAAGTCCAAACATCATTTATCTCGAATTGATGGAGTTTTTTTTTTATTGCCAAAATTGCTTCTTTTATTATCTTTGGTTCAATGTCTAACACTAGAACCCTTGGCAGCAAATATTATTTTGACACCTTCTTCTTTTTCTTGTTTTTTTTTCTTGGCAAGTAGTTACACATTAAAAGGAGAGTAATCCAATAATATTGAGGGTGACAGATAATTATATATATTTTATTAATTTTTTTATTTTTTAATAACAATACGTTGGTATGACGATTGCAAGTAATCATATGAAATGAAAACATTACGCTGAGTATAGGGAATATAGTACGGAAAATAGGTGTAAGTCAGTAAGTCAGAATAATATTTCTTTAAATTAAATATTTTTAAAAGGGCTTAAGAATAATTTTAAATAACTTAAATAAAATAAAATAAATAAAAAAGTAATACCGTACACTTGCTCACGGTGGCAGTTACCAAAACCATCTAATTATTCTCTTTTTTCTCATAAGAATTTTCATGTTTGAAATTAAAGAAATTCTACGGTACTCACGTTATTTGAAAAGATATCGGTATAGTTATAATTATAATTTTATTTTATATTTTATATTTTTAATAATTTATTTAAATAATATTTATAATATTTTATTCTTTTAATTTTTAAATTATTTAGTTATTTTATTTTTATTTTATATATTCTAATTTATTTGTAATAATATTATTTTATATTTAAATAGTTTAATTTTAATAATTTTTTAAGTATATTTTT